AGGGTTTAGGGTTGCTGCTGCTGTTGCTCCTGCACATTGGCTAGTCTCCATGTCTGCCGCTACTGCTGCTACTGCTGCTGCTGCTGCTGATGCTGCTGCTGATGCTCCTCCTCCGCCTCCTGCAACTACAGCCGCCACCAGTCTCTACAAATGCTTCTGCTAAGTTCGAGCTCTTTAGGTACATGATACTATAACTAGAATAAGGCACGCCACCAAAATACCATTGTTGATTATTTAGGCCCCCTACATTACCCAACTTCGAGGTTCGAGCTCTTGACCTCTACAGGATTTTTGGGGTGTATTATACTATAATTATAATAAGGAACCCCTAAAGCACCCCTAAACCCTATTTAGGCTTCTATCTTACCCTAAACCCCCTAAACCCCTAAACCCCCTAAAAACTAAAACCTAAACTCTAAACAACCCTAAACCCTGAACCCTAAAACCTAAGCTCTAAACCCTAAACCCTATTTAGGCTTATATCTTACAAGGCTTCAATCAGGATCTTGGACTTCTAGGCTTCAGGGTCCCTGTCCGTAGAGACAGGGCGTAGGGTTTATTAGGGTTTAGGGTTTAGGGGGTTTAGGGGGTTCAGGGGGTTGAGGGGGTTTAGGGGGTTTAGGGTTTAGGGGTTTTAGCGTTTAGAGTTCAGGGTTTAGGGGTTAGCGGTTTGAGGGGTTTAGGGTGCAATGCTGTCAGTTGCCAGCATGAAAAAACAAGATACTGCTCTCGTCAATTCCATTCAAGATCTCTCCCTAAACCCTAAACCCCTAAACCCTAAACCCTGCACCTTAAACCTCTAAACCCCTAAACCCTCAAGCCGCTGGAGACCCAGTCGTCCTGGGTGGGCTCCTCCAGCTGTTCTAGGACTTCGTTGACATCCACTTTTCGGATGGTCTTGCCTCCTTTGATGACCTGGGTTTAGGGTTTAGGGTTTACGGGTTGACCTGGGTTTAGGGTTTAGGGTTTTAGGGTTGACCTGGGTTTAGGGTTTAGGGTTTATGGGCTTGAGAAGTGCTTTTGGCCTTTGCGTTTTGGCTGTAGAGTGTCGGGTTTTGGGCCTTAGGGTGTACCCGTCTGAACACTCCAACCTTACTATCCGAGCCTACAGCCGGGAAACCCTAAAACCCATCACCCCGAACCCCCAAACTCTGCTCTGTTAAAGCAAAGGGCTTAACAAAAAAAACAAACGTCTGCCGAGGGTCTTGTTTACTTCGTTCCCCTGCGTATTTGATAAAGACACGAAGGCCGAGCTCTAATTCAATCCCTAACCGACACCCCATTAACCTTAAACAACAAGGCAAAACACACATCCCAAACCCTACACCATATAAACAAAACAACGAAAGCCACGGCGAGTGGCCAGACCGTCAGTCATCGTCACGGGCGCGCTGCAGAGGTATCCTTGGCTGAGGCTCCTGATGATCTTACACTTATCGCCAACCTGAACCCCAAACCCTTCAATCCCAAACCCTAATCTCTAAACCCTAAGCTCTAAAACCCTAAACCCTTCACCCTAAATTCTTATTCCCTAAGCCCTAAAAACCCTAAACCCTAATCCCTATACCGTTCTTAAGAGCCAAATAAAGAGATCCCAGGATCGTTCCCGGAACTCGTCGAGGAAGCGCGTCTCGTCGACGCCATCTTCCTGCAGAGCTTGGGTCCCGTGTTGGGGTTTAGGGCTTTGGGTTTAGGGTTTGGGGTTTAAGGTTTAGGGCCTTAAGGTTTTGTAATTATTGAGGGTTAAACCCTAAACCCTAAGGGACTTGAAGTTTAGGGTTTCGTGCTCTCAGCGAGGGTCTGGGTCGATCTTCTCAGATATTCCACCTGTACAAACCTTGCAGACAAAGCCTCGGACTAGTTTGAGTTTAATTTTGACTTGAACTTGGCTGACTTCTGAACCCCTCCAAAAAGTTAAACTTTTAGTCTCCTTATTATGGTTCATATAGAAACCTAAAAAGTTAAAGTCCTAAGAGCCAACCAGAAGAACACCAAGTGAATACTGACACTTAACAGAAAACAGAGGGGGTCATCAAGCGCACCACCTTTCGGCATCACCGCATCTGCCACTTGAGCCGTCGCCATTTGCGTAGAGTCTGCGGGTTGAGGGCTTCAACGGCTTTCGAGTGTGCTGCGTCTGCTAAAACCCTGGACCCTAAAAACCCTGAACCCTAAGCTGTTCTTGGGGTCGAGGAAACTAAACCCTGGTCCCAAGCCCTCAACTCTCAACCCTAAACTCTAATCCCTAAACCCTAAGCCCTAAACTCTAATCCCTAAACCCTCAACCCTAATCCCTAAACCCCAAACCTTAATCCCAAAGCCCTAAACCCCAAACCCTAATCCCTAAACCCCAGACCCTGGTCCCTTAACCCTAAACCCTAAACTCTAATCCCTAAACCCTTAACCCTAAACCCTTAACCCTAAACCCTAAACTCCAAACCCTAAAACCCCACACCCTCGATCCTCCCACGAATTCCTGGCCGGGTTACCCGGTCCTTGCCATTGGCTAAGCGGCCAAAGGCTGCCTTCAGCTGCTCCTCCCGAGATTACTACCTTAAGGACGACATGAACGGTTCAGGGGTTAGGATTTAGTGGATTACTCATGAATCCGGCCATGGGTGGTTCTCTAGACTAGGGTCCCTTTTAGGGTCCTCTTTATAAGGGTGTCGTATTACGTTGGGGACAGAATTACAAAACTACCCCTTACGATGTGGGATTTAGAGGTTCAAGGTGTAGGATGTAGGGTTTCGGACTTGGCACCTCCGGGTGTAGGCTTGAGAGTTTGGAGTCTCAGGACTATGGCTTGAGGGCTTGGCTCAGCAGTTTCGGACCTTCGAATTTGAAGATGTAAGGCTGGGAAGGTGCAACGCAGGCTGTGCACAGGTGTAGGGTTTTCAGGTTTACGGGTTTTTATGATTTAGGGTTTGGGCTGTAAGTTTCAAGGATTCACGATTCAGGGCCTTAGGCTTCACCTGCGAGTTTCCATCCCATTAAGGGACAATAGGAGGGACCCCTAGAAGGGACCCCTAATCCAAATACTCTACATAATCCTTATATACCCCTTATATAGTCTCATAGAGCCCCTATATAGCCGGAAGGCTTTAAGGGTCCCTCCTTTAGCCCCTTGAAGAAAGAACCCTATCAGCCCAAGCTAAACCCTAAACCCTAAACTCTAACCCTAAACCCTAAACCCTAAACCCTACCCCACTCCTCTGTCTGGTGCTTAGTAGGGAATGGGGGAATGGGTTGAAGGGACTACTATAAGGGACCTTGAGGGACTATCATAGGGATCCATTCCCCCATTCCCTACCAAGCACCAGACAGTCCTCCGAGAGGGTCATCGCCTGCGGGTCGGACTCCTTCCAGCGCGGTGGGCTTTCCGCTTGAGGCTCCGCGTTTGTGAAAGTGTAGGGCTTCCGGGTGGCTGGCTTTAGGGTTTAGGGTTTAGGGTTTAGGGTTTAGGGTTTAGGGTTTAGGGTTTAGGGTTTAGGGTTTAGGGTTTAGGGTTTAGGGTTTAGGGCTTCCGGGTGGCTGGCTTTAGGGTTTAGGGTTTAGGGTGTAGGGTTTGGGGTTTAGGGTTTAGGGCTTCACGGGTGGCTTTGGGCTTTAGGGTTTGGGGTTGCCGGGAGGTCCGCCTGGGTTTAGAGCTTGGGGGAGTAAGCTTCGGGGTGGGTTTTCTCATCCAAGACCCAACGCCGTGGCAGGAGAATGAAAGTAACACCTGAACCCTAAACCCTAAACCCTACAGCCTAAACCCTAAAGACTAGACTCTCAGCCCATAGAACCCAGCTCCTGAACCTCGAGGGATCTATAGGGATTACGTTGCGTGATATGGGAGCCTTTATAGGGTTTAGGTTTTAGGGTTTTAGGGTTTAGGGTTTAAGGTTTAGGGTTTTAGCGTTTTAGGGTTTAGGATTTAGGGGTTAGGGGTTTAGGGTTTAGGGCTTTAGGGGTTTATAAGAAAGGTACGTGGTCGTAGTAGAGTTTTAGAAGCAGACCCAGGGGGTTAAGGGTGGAGGGATAAGAGCCCTTGAAAGAAGGTGCCTGAACTGATCCGGCTCATCCTGATTAGGGTTTAGGGTTCAGGGTTTAGGGTTTAGGGTTTAGCCTCTAAGACAGGACCACCGGGTACTCTACACCCTGATGCCCAAAGAGAAACCCTTAGCGCACTCTCCCAGAGAGCCTTGACACCTGATTAAAGGGGAGCTTTCAGGGAAACCCTAAACCCAAAGCTCTACACAGTAAAGGCCTACACCCCAACATCTCTTAACCCTACACTCTAAACCCTAAGCCCTAAACACCCGTAAACCCTAAACATCCCTGAAACCTAACATCCCTAAACCCTGAGCATCCTTAAACTCCTTAAACCGTACCCTAAACATCCCTAAACCCTACACAGCCCACTAAACATCCCGAAAGCCTATTAATGTAGGGGCCTGAATCGTTAGAATAGGGTCTTGGGGGGTTTAGGGTTTAGGCTACAGCACAAATAAATCCCAGCACTATTTGACCTTAATCCGGTTTCCAACTTTTTGGGGTTTGCAACCCTAACCCTAAACCCTAAAACCAAACACCTTAAACCGCAAACCCCTGAATTAAACCCTGAACCCGAACCCCTGAACCCCTAAACCCCGTAAACCCCAAACCCTTTGTAAACGGCTAAGAGCACCAAGAGCAGATCCCGGGCACTTGATTGTTCGCTGCGATGCTTTTTCCCCAGCATCGGCGATCATCTAAGTGCAGATCGGCTAGCGGACCCCTTGAGAGGTAGTGTTGTCGGTTTTGCTCAAGTACGAACACAGCGAATCACACCGGTCCAAACTTCTTTTGAGCAAAACCGTCTCCCCACAGCAGTGGACAAATAAAGAAGCATTCTTGGTCCGTGTTAGACCGATGCTTTTGCAGATCGGTATATCCTTGCTCGTTTAGAGTCCACTGTCCCCGAGACATCACAAACCGAAGGTAATTGCCACCGGCGTTCTTCGTCAGATTGTCGGAAATCATGTTTCGACCATCAACCCAACGGACGGTGCCAGCACCCTCGAGATCGTGTTTCAGAATAGAAACATCAATAGCAGTTCGTTTGTCATCAACTTGGCTGAAAGGACATGTCTGCTTGGACAAAGTATCATAAAGAGATTTAGAATCGGTCACTGCCATAAAAGGGATCTTGTGAAGCTTCTGTTCCCAAGCCCGGTCCTTGATCGGGTCATTCTGAGCCTCTGTGAAGAGGAAGCGGTGCCACTGTAGGTTGCCCACGCCGGACACCAGTGCCTGGCACTCCGCTGCCAGGGTGTTGACCACTTTCCGCTTCAACTTGTAGCTTTTCCAGCTGGCCACGGTGACTTTCGCCCACGGCTCGTACTGGAGATCTTGATCGTGGTAGAGAATGATGTGGCCGCCTTGGCTGCTCAGGCGTCGGTTCTGAAGAAACCCTTCATGAATCTTGGCCTCCCCGGTGGCCCCCTTGTAGAAGACTGTTCTTCCGACCCAAGGGCCGGTCTCCAGGACCTTCATCCGATTCGGATGAGTCCATTCGTCGTTGAGCTCCTTGGCCTCCTGGTTCTCCTGGTAGTAGGTGACTCTTCGTCCATCGAGATGATGTAGATCCGGGCCGTCATCTGTCATCCCCGGGTGGAATAGGGTTCGTCGTGGACGTACATGATACCGAATCCATTGGTCCTGAGTCTCAACCCAGTAATCTGGGCCTTTTCCAGGTGCCTGGTCCGTAGCATTGCCCCACGATGCGTCTGTCACCGTACTTATCCGAAGCCGTTCCAGAGGTATCTTGGAAACCTTGATGCCCTCCTGGTACTTGATGGCCTCCGCTGCGAGCTGGTTCGCCTGAATGAGGTCCCTCACACGAGGACGGGGAAAGGCTTGCTGGAGTAAGCAAACCCGACCGCATAGGTCTGGTCTTGTCTCCTTAGCCAGCCAGGCTAGTCCGCCCACCAAAGACCGTAAGTCGCTGATCTCCTTCTCGGTGCAGAGGGAGTATCTTTGGCTTTTTCGAGCTCGTAGAATCGGGATGGCCTCGATCTTCTCGCGAACGTAGTGAGCCTGCTCAATAAGAACGCCTCCGCAGGGTAGTGGTTTGAAGTTCTTCCCAGTGAAGCGTCCTTCGCCATACTGGAACTTCCCCAGCTTGTACGTCTTGTTCAGGTACTCCATCTTCTTCTGGTGTGTTGCGTTTCCTCCGTGCAGCATGTCGTCCGTGGCAACGGAAATGATGCCTTCGAGGCTGTCCCATCCACGATCGGTGGACTTGTGCAAGTAATAGATGCACGGGTCCACGACGCTCTGCGTGTATCCCAACTCGGTGGTGAGAACCCGCCGGAGGTGTTGAAACCAGGCCATCGGGCCGTCCAGAAGACCGTAACAAGTCTTCTTTAGGCGTAGTAGTTGGCCTCGCTGAAGTCCTGGCATTCCTTCTGGAGGTTGCTCTGCGTATAGTTCCCGGCTAATTGGATCCCCAGAGTGGAATGCCTGCGTGAAGTCTAGAAAGCCCAGTTGCCAACCCTTGCTGACAATGATCTGGGTAGTCGCCACGACCCCGTCACGGGTCACTTGAGGTGTTGCGGCGTCCAGCTCCTCTGCTCCATTCTCTGAGAAACCCTTCATCACGTGCCTGACCTTGGCCTTGCATGCTCCTCCATGTTCTCCTTCAAGAAAGAGTCCTTCTGCCCTGGCCTTGTCCAGGTCACACTCCTCCAGGGGCTTTGCCGTCCGGACGAAGCGTGAGTCCATGATCCGCTCGGGTTTCTCTTGCCGAACCCGATCGCTTTCCTCTGGGCTGAGGATCTCGTAGGCCTGGGTCTCGAGGTTGTTGCGGATTTCCTTTTCCGCGGCTCGGAGGAAGCAGTCCAGGTCATGCTGGTTGAGGTCCTTCAGCCGGACTTCCTTCCGTTGTCTCGTCTTCATAAGCGTCTCCAACTTCGCGTAGTAGAGCTCCATGAGTTCCACACGTGACCGCTTTGCCGGCGGCCCGGCAACATCATCGTCACCTTGGTCTTCCTCCTCGCGAAGTCGAACCCGTGGAACGGGTTCCCATGAGCTCCGGCTGGCTTCAGGTAGTTCTTCCGACGGTTCTCCCGGCTCGGGGCGAAGTTCTGGTAGGTCTCGAACTGGTACTGAGATTCTCTCGGCGAGGCTTGTCTTGGCTCGGACTCGTCGTAAAGGTACTGGTGGCTCCTCGGCAGGTTCATTCGTCTCCTCCGTCTCGGTCAGGTTCTCGGCTGGCTCATTGAACTCGGGAAGGGGCTCCTGACTGAGGTCTAGGTAACCACGCTTCGGGTCCTTCTCGAACTCCTCCTTGGCCTTGGTAAGCCCTTCCAGCCATCCGGAAATCGTCTGCAGCTCCTCTGGGCTGGCCGGCCGGACTCGCTCGGGCGAAGCCTTGACCACGCCTCCTTGATAGCTCAGCCATAGGGTGCCAGGCATGTCGAGTAACACGACTCGGGCCGGACCACACCATAGGTCTGGCAGTTTCCTCCCCTTCTTTGAGTGCCCAACCCGGTAGAAGTAGACCATGTGGCCGACGTGGTATTCGGCCTGTGGTCGGGGTCCTCCGCTAAGGGCGTTCCGGAGGGCCTGGTCGCAGTCAGTCTCGAAGAAGGCCTTGGCTGCCGCTTTCCGCATGTTCATGGCATCCTCGAGGGCCTTGTCTCCCAAATGAGTTGGTCTCCTTGCTTCATGATCCTCACTTTCGCTGCTAAGAAGTCCTCCTGGTAGACGTGGATAATATCCGAATACTCGTTGGATTGGGGAGTACCCTCCCCGATTCGCCAGGCGGTTCTTCATCATCATTACCTGGTCTACTAGAGCTTGCCAGTCCTTCTTGTTGTCGCACGCGTACTCGGCCATGGCCTTTGAGAGCATCACCTTGAAGGTCTTCCCGTGCCGCTCCGTGACTCCTCTCTGGAACGGTGATTCGAGGCTGCTCGGTTCCATGTGAATCCCCTCCCGACTGACTCGGGTCTTGAAGGACCCCTTGAACTCCGGCCCCTGGTCCACGTAGACCTGGCGTGGTGGGCCAAACAACCGCAGCCATTGCTGGAAGGCTACCCATGTGGCCTCGGGATTCGCCGTCTTCACCGGTATCACCATCTGAAAATGGGAGGACCAATCGATCACATTGAGGGCCAGGGTCTTGCCACCATGTATACTGGGAAGCCATAGAGTGTCTAGCCCAACCACCTCGTTCAGCCCGTACTCCCTCGGGGGTGCGGCCCTTCGTTGAGGCCTTGTCTGGGCAAACCTCTCACAGACACTGCACTTCAAGCTTCTGGCGATCTCGATCACCTCGGCGCTTGCCTTGGCACTCTTGAGGATCCTGAGGAACCGGTCGGTGTTCGGATGACCTAGTCCTTCGTGAGCTCGCCGTACCAACTGTTTTAGGGTCCTGGGACGTGAGCCTGGTAGATCATGTTCTTCTGCGGGACCCCCTTCTGGTTCTTGATCTGGTCCTTCTCCGTCGGCTTGTGCTGGTTCTGGTCTACCCCCTTCTGGTTCTTGATCTGGTCCTTCTCCGTTGGCTTGTGCTGGTTCTGCTCTACCCCCTTCTGGTCCTTGATCTGGTTCTTCTCCGGGAGGTCGCACTGGTTCCATAGGTTCGTCATCGTTGGCGTAGATCTCCTTGAGATTCCCGCGAGGTACCTCGTGACTGGGGTACTTCTCCTGAAACAGTTGGTTCAGGTAGTCGCACCTCAACTCGTGCGATCGGTCTGGTTCCCAGAGGTAGTACTGGTAGATCTGGTTCGCTGTCGTGGCATACAGCAGTGCCGCAGCTGCGCCAACCAGTCGATGCGCCATCGACCGCCGGATCATCCCATCGGGGCAGGTCTCGGAGAGGGCTTTTCTGAACCTATCGCTTGTGGTGGACCACTGAAAGTGTCGGTCCTTCGAATTGGAGTCCCCGGCCTCAGAAGAGGCTCCAGGAAACAAAAGAACTGCGGTCACGTCATGCTGCTGACAACGTCTGCGAAGAGCTTCAGACAATGAGGCTTCATCAACTGGCTGTTCCGCCACTATAATCAACATGTCAGGCCTACAGCGCTCAACTTCCGTACAGACCTGCTCAGAACACTCATGAAATGACCTGACACTCACCCATGCAGCACTTGCAGTTCGGAGAGAATTGGGCTCAGGCTCTTGACCAACTAGATGCTGACACTCATGATAGCTCAGGCCGGTCAAGTCTTGCACTGCTTTTGCGGATTTTCGGGTAATTGCACGATACAAGCTGTTCTCTGCGGTCCTGCTGCTGGGGCACCCTGATATTGCAGGAAGATTAAGCAGGCTGAACAGATTGTGCCATTTCCGTTCGGCCTTCTGGAGTGCCTCCTTAATTCGTCGTCGGATCCGGCGACACAAAGGCTGACCGCTATCTTCAGCTTTGTTCAAAAATCCATTGTCCTCGCTCTCGCTCAGTACCGCTGGCGTCGGTCTTCCATCCAGGCCTCGTACTCCGCATCGCTCCTGCTGGCAGGTTCCTCGCGGATGGGATTCTGTGTGGGAGGCCGCCGGTAGCGCTCGATCATCTTGTTGCACATGCGGCACCGCTTGAGGATGTAGTGCTGGTTCGTGCCCGTGTTGACCAGCCCGAAGTTGTGCTCGCACTTGGCCTGAATGAGCTGGCACAGGAGTTCCCGGGGTGACGATTTGCCTCCCTGCTGGACTTGTAGTCGCAAAAGTCCGTGTTGCTCGTCTCTCAGTGGCTGTTCGTTGGCCCACGCGAAGAATCGGCACTGCTCCTTTGTCGGTGGGTTGTAGCACCGGTAGAACACCTTCTGGTAGTTGGGGCCCGTCTTGAGGGTCACTTCCACGCCTGCCACCCGATTGCAGTGGCACATCGGCAAGTCCTTGAAGATGAGCTGTGCCCCGTTGGAGAGGACCCGGTCCTGGAGGGCCTTGTCGACCAGGCGCTCGTTGATCACTTCCATGGGCGGCTCGACCATCTCGTAGCCAGCCATGCTCGCCGTCTCGGCACTGGTTGTCTCGGAGTCGCTGGTGCAGCGGCTCCTGGCCCGACTCACCCGGTTCGATGGATTCGATGGGTGATTTACCGGCATCGGTGGTGGTGGTCCACGTGGCCGGCTGGACGGGCTTGCCGGAGTCCCGTAGCTGATCATGCTTCCCAGGCTTGTTGGGCTCGACATAGCTGACCTCGCCGGGCTCGGACTCGGAGGTGTTCCCCGCTCGCGCCGTCTGTTCTTGAGCACTGTGCCCAGTTCCTCGTGGACCTCGTTGAGACAGCTCAAAGGGATCTCCTCCCAGTTCCGCCGGAGGACGCGGACCGCTTCCATGGGTCCTGGGCGGCACAGATTCTGGAGTAGCTGGAGTACCGGCCGCACCAAAACCAAGATCTTCACCACCAGGTTGCCCCACATGCGGGCCCACATCGGCGGCGTCGGGACCGGTTCGGCACGGGCTCGCTTGCCGCTGGTGCCGTCCATCGTCGCGGTGTCGCAGAGGCAGGGGATCAGGCGCGGGTTGAGGTGCTTGAGCGCGAAGGGCTTCTTCGTGAAGAGAAAGAACCTCGAACTCGCTTGCTCGCTTGTCCTGTAAACTAGAGGCTGCCTGGCACAGGTGACTGATCATGTCGCTATTAAAAGCATTCAACGGGATGCGCAACGCCCCTGATGGCCCGAATAGCAGGGGAATTCGGGCCTGAGTACGCTTTAAGTACACATATGGTTGTTCTTCATCAAGGTGCAGAACCGCTTTGCAATGACGCAGGAATTTCAACGACACAAGAAACGGTGCATGCTTGCTGTGTTCGCCTTCGAACACCGCAGGTTTCAAGTAGCAACCTTTCTTGCCTAAGCTGCATGGGACGATGGCGTTGTAACTTGTTTGCGAAATTCCATGAACCGATCGAAAGCGATTGATTTCGGTTTGTTTGAACCATTTAAGGTCCTTCGGCCAGTGTTTCTGCATGCTTCGGAGGGTTTCGATTCCGACTGCGGTTCTCTGACATCCGGTGTCAATAGTAGCACAGGCTTCATCAGCAACATCCAACTCGCTGAACATCACATCAAAAACCCTGGGGACAGTGTAATCCTGGCTCGGCTCTAACTGTCGTCCTGACATCTCGCTACCGTAGCCGTTTGGCTCATGCTCAAAAACTCTGCCTCCGTCATTTTCCGGGTTCTCGATCAGCTCCAGGTGGTGGCAGAAGAGGGCATCGTCCTCATCTTGGATCTCAACTTCGAGAAAGTGGGCCGCCTTCTCATTCGCCGGGTTGTCTGGACACTCCCTTTTCCAGTGTCCGATCTTGCCGCAGCCCTTGCATCTTGTTCTTTTCTTGAGCTCGGAGATGCTGAGGCGATATACTCCCGGTCGCACTGGTCCAGAGGCGGAGGATTGGCCGCGCTGGCCGTATCCCCGCGAGAGCTCCTTCTCCTTCTTCAGCTGGTTGGACTGCACGAACGTCTTCTTCTTCCGCTCCTTCAGCATCACGGACAAAATCTCAGCCGTCTCGGCTTCCTCAAGGGTCCCTATGTCGTCCTCGTAGTTCTCCGCGTCCGACTCCACGAGGTCAGCAAGGAAGGCCTCCATTTCCTCGACCTCTTCCGTCTCCCCAGGAACCTCGCCGCCGTTCGCGGTCTCCACGAGGTGGGCTCCACTGGCAGCCCCAGCCGCCGTAGTCGCCCTAGTCTTGGCACCCTGGTGTTCCGCTCCGAGCTGGTTGGCCTGGAGCTTGGTCTCATGCTTCCGCAACCAAGTCCGGATCTCCGCCGGCTCGATCGACCCGTGCGTGTAGTTCAGCAGGGCCTTTATGTCTCCTTCCGACAATCCCAGAGCATTGATCAGCAGGAAACCTCGGTAGACGCTTGGAAGGTCCACCTTGTGTTCCTTCACCTTCCGCTCGGCCATCTCCCACCTCGCCAGGAACTGCCTTGCTGTCTCCTGACGTTGTCTTTTGAGGTGGTACGTCAGGCGGGATAAGGCTGACAGCAGGTGCTCCTCCTGATCATCGCCGTAGTACTCGGGGCTGTTCATCTTGTCCAGGAGCACCTCCGCGTTATTCGCGTCGCTGAGCCACGAGCTGTCCTTGGCCAAGTATTTGAAGTCCTGAAAGGGCGTCTCGGCAAGGGCCTTGAGCAAGAGGGGTCCGCGGGTTCTTGGCCTTGCCTTTGTTGTGCTGCACCATATCTTTGCCCGTATCAGGTAGTCCTCGAATGGAGAGCTTACTCCGTCCCACGTCGGCGGTGGGCCTGCGTTCGTCCTGAAGCTCTCGTCCTCTCCATCCTCGTCGTCATCCCGCCGGGCATATCGGCGGTTGTCTCGCCTGCCTTGGCGCTCGCGGCGCCATCGCTGAAAATCAGCAAACTCCTCCTCGTCGTCATGCCGCGGGCTGTATCCAGGAGGAATGCTGAGCTCATTTTCATCATCTTCCGGCACTGGAACCGTGCCAGCCGACATCACTGTAACCGAACTCTCTCGTGTCCGGATCTGCTCAGGTACTCACTAGCAACCCAAACAACAACTAAGCCCCCGGACACCCAACCGGAGGCTCCGCTACCACTGTAAACGGCTAAGAGCACCAAGAGCAGATCCCGGGCACTTGATTGTTCGCTGCGATGCTTTTTCCCCAGCATCGGCGATCATCTAAGTGCAGATCGGCTAGCGGACCCCTTGAGAGGTAGTGTTGTCGGTTTTGCTCAAGTACGAACACAGCGCATCACATAGGGCTTAGGGTTTAGTTGGGGTTTTAGCGCCA